ATATGCCTGGCTGTGGTGAATTAACAGACCAGAATAGTCTCTGAGCTGATTAGCATGCCGAGCTCTAAGTTCACGGTTTTGAACAGTTTTTAAATCAAACAGCCTGGAATGTGATCCCTGGAAATCTTTAGTATTTCCCTCCTGGAGTTACATTTAGCTGTGAGGCAGTAAGTAGCCAACAGTCTTGCTACCTGGAGCAGCCTTTGTATCTTGGGTAAATTAGCTCTCTGAAAAAATGGGGAACTGTTGGAGCTTTGCTCATTTCAGTAGCCTATAATCGTCTGATACCATTGAAGAACTCTAATAACACATTACGACCTTCAGCTGGCAGTATCCAATGGTCATTACCTAACCCTAGAGTTGACATTTTTCTGATGATTCATATTTGGTGTTAACAAAAAGCTGCATACATACGCAGTGTTTTGTCTTTGATCTGCGCCACATTCATGTGTTAAATAAAAATGCATCCTGAGGCGAGAGTATGTCAAACTGACAGATTTTCCTGAGTTCTAATCTACAGTGCAAAAATGAAAAAGAAAATCTGAATTTTAAACCAGAAAAGACATCACTGAGAATTTCTAAGGCGGTCTAACAGAAGCTTTTCATATCTGTCTCTCAACTGAAAACACATTTTTTTATTCTCTGTTACAGTGACAACAGCAGAAATTGCATCTTTTCGAATAAGAGGGTGACACAGTGACTTTCACTGTGGATTAAAGCCTATCTAATTTAATGACACAGCTCTCTGTTACTCAGGCCCATGTGAATGCTACCAGTTATTGTCAGTGTGTGTAGTCGTACTGGCTGGCTGCCTGGCTGCAGCGAGGAAGCTAATCCAGTGTGACGAGCCCGGGGAAACTCCTCCTCAGAGAACCCTCTTTAATGGACAGATATGGGTCAGTGCTGCCACATGGACTCACTACAGGAACTACAGCGATAGTTGTATACGATACAACTATCTTTTTTTCTTTTAATAGAAACTGTGGAAATCCTCACAGCAGTTGTGTTTTTTTTAATTGATTGTTCAGTGACAGCAAAAAGAGCACAGATCAGGGTTTTCTGTTGATTTAAAGAGAAACTTAACATCCTAGTTTGGCTTGAACACTTCTTTTGGCTGGTTATGTTACCTGAAGAGAAGTGAGGATATCCACATTTCTATAAAAAGACATCACAAGATGGGATCTTTTTTGCTGATCACTGATTGATATTCAGCCAATAACCAGTGTGTGAAAGCTTTTCCATTTTCAGTTTTAAACCGCTGTGAATGCACATGGAGGAATGTGTTTGATGTTTACATAATCGGTTTGAATTTGGGATAGATATGAGAAGGACATATATAAGATGGATGGATTACTAAAGACGTCACCAAGTACTACAAATTAGAATCTTCGAAGCAGCAAAATGCCAAAATTAAAATGGAAAATATAAAACCATCAATATGCACTGAAAGCAGCAGGAAATGTAATAAATATATAATTTTCTTGGTAAAATAATTAAAGTGACTGTTGTTACTCTGCATACCAAACCTAAACCTGTACCTAAAGCTTCTTATTTTAAATCTGGAGGTATACAGGAGAAAAGATTAGGCTTCCACCACCCCACCCCCAAACCACTCCATGAACCTAATGACCTCCCAGACTCTGCCCCCCCCCCCCATCC